CTCAATAATTACTGGGATAACTTAATTGCCATCCACATACCAAGTATTTTGCCATATGTCAAAGAAAAGAACATATATCTGGCCTTCTCTATTGTGTAAAGATTAATAGGAAACTTTCACAGCAACAACTATTCATGGGGGCACTCACCTGTAATATCAACACTAGGGAAGCTGAGACAAGATCTCAAATTCAAGACCAGCTTAAACTACACAAGGCCTGGTCTTTAATAATGATGATGATGATGATGATGATGATGATGATGATGATGATGATGTCATAGGCTCATAAGGGAGACTGGCATTTCCATTTTATTGTTTGGGGAATTTGTTCAGAGATAAGGTCTCATGTAGCCAAGGCTGGCCTTGAATTTGTAATCCTGTCTCTACCTCTCAAGTGCTAGGCTTACAGGTGTGATTTGGTACTCCATTTTATAATCTCAGGATCTTCCTATTTCAGCAAAGCACAAATTAGGAATTAAATGTCATGTTTTATGTCCACATATACAGGTTTTTAATCACATAGAAGCACTATAATTTTATAATGAAAAGAATCTCTACGACTAAAGTTAAACAAACACTACAGCTGTGTGCTTCAAGGGACTAAGACAGCAGCTCAGTAGTACAGCATATACAGAAGCACATGTAAGGCTCTGGTTTTAATCTCAAGCAGGGAAAGGAGGAAAGGGGGGGAGGGCGATTACTCAAGAACTAGTTAAGTCTCAAATTTCATTTATATTAGTGCATTCAATTCTGTATTACCCTTACTAAGAAGACAGGGATGGCGCAAGTAATCCCAACTAATAACGTTTAGGAATGTCATAATTCTTTTCCTTAGGAAATCATTTCCAAAAGTGCTTATTCTGACCTAGTATTCAATATCATCTGAATTGCCTGAAAGCATGCCAACTGATGACTGGAAGAAGTGTCCAGACACAGTGAAAAATCTGTATCAGTCCAGGATTTAACATGTACCATATGATGCACTAGGCAGAATACACCAAGTAGAAATTATTGTGGAGGAGAAAAGAACTGCAAGTGTTAGAGCTTCAGCATCCCACGCAATACACACTACTGAATCTTTCCCGGTAGAGTACATACCTCTACCTTTTTTAACACAGTCACAAAATTATGGTTTTTGCATTAGAACTAAACAAAAGACCTCAAGAGTGTTATCTCTGCAATCAGTCATTCTTACCCATGACTGTATTATTTAGATGTGAAGATATGATACAAGAAATGTACATATATATGTTGTGTATGTTTGTATGTGTGTATATACATAGAGAGAGAGTACCAAAACTTTAAGAATGATTTCCTTGTTTGAAGAGTTTTGCAAATGTCACTAATTTGCATTCCATTTACTTTCTTGAGTTAAAGGGGAGGAAGCTGTGACTGGTGAGCAAGAATGCATTCACTCAGAGAACACAGAACAAATGAACATTATCCACTCTGTGGTGGCTGAAAAGTTCTGAGATTTCTTGTCCAAAGAATACCCTCTAAATATTAAATGTAAAATACAGGACCTCAAACTAGTACCTTGAAATAAAATTTATTTCAAAATCATGAGTCAAAAAGGTCAAGTAACCAAAGCTCCTTGGGCTCAAGTCTGTATCAGTCCAGGATTTAACATTTACATTCCTCATGGTGATCAAGGATTAATTAGAAGGTAACCTATATCTTCCAGGGTTATCATCAAGTTAATTTAGTGGGTATGGAGCCTCTGAGGGAGAGCAACTGCTCAACATCACAGCCTAGCACCAGGGTGCTGTGCTCAAAGTTCCTCGGCCTGATTCCTCACCTGTCAGGCAGCAGTACACGTATTTATCTAACAAGCCTCTTTTAAAATTAAACCATGGCTGGGCAATGGTGACGCATGCCTTTAATCCCAGCACTTGAGAGGCAGAGACAGATGAATCTCTCTGTGAGTTCGAGGCCAGTCTGGTCTACAGAGCGAGATCCAGGATAGCTACACAGAGAAACCCTGTCTTGAAAAACAAAAACAAACAAACAAAACAACAAAAATTGAACTACATCTTAGAGTACTGCCTTGACCTAAATAAAGAGTCTTAGTACTGGTAACATCATCAGCATGACTGCTCCAAAACTGACTTACAACTGCACTGCTGGATTATGCATTTCAGCTAGATGAAAAAAATATCTTTGAGCAAATCAATCCACTTTAGTGAACAAATATAGGATGAGCTCACACAACCAAAAAGTTTATGCTAACTTTCAGAAAACTTAAAGTGAAAAATTGCAAGGGAAATTCTCTAAATTGACTATTGTTCATGACTGCTGGAAAAATGTATGTATTGAATACCCTCTTAACAAACAAACCCCGCCTGTGAATTGGAACGTAGCACAAATGGTGTGTCCATTCTACTATGTCCCCTAAAGATCTCAAAATAACTTAAATAATACAACACAGCAAATTCAAAATACTCAGGACACTTGAGAATTTGCAGCTCAGTGCAATGAACATCTTTCTCTAAAACTTTTGCCACATAGTTACAATACTTCAAAAGTGCTGTGAAAGTCTAGGATGCCCAAGGCTGTGCTAAGCTATGTTCTAAAAGAAAAGAACCAAAAAATAATAGGAGGAATATAAACGACAACACAGTTAAGTGTTTTCAAATATTATGGTCTTGTTTGCCTTAAACAGGGAAAGAGAAAATTATAGGCTCTCACAATTGAAGCATCAATACTTAATAAGAATGATAATCTAAGGTTTTCCCTAAGGAGACTAGGAGTAAAATGAAATAACCATCACTCTGTACTTCTCCATCAATTACTATTTACTAAGTAAAGATAAATGGTCACTTCAAATATGAGTTAAACAATCTTGAGCATGGTACCACACCACATGAACTATTTTTAACCTATTTATTTTCAGAAAGCTCAGAGAAATGAATTTTTTAAACTTCATTAAATATCACTTACACTATGTAAGAAATAAATCAACTGCCTTCACTTAGCTTTGCTCTGCATCTCAACTTACATTTTTGCTGGGACAACTAGAAGCAATTTATTAACCTAGCTTCCCTTGATCAAATGGTCACTTTCTTAGGAAAGAAAAAAATATACTCTGCTCAATTACATATAACACTACAGAACATTTTACATTTTACAAAGCAAGGGTTTCCTTCAAGGCAGCTCCATCACTACTAAAGTTAAAAGGGATGTAAAAATCATCTAGCAATACCACTCTGGAAAAAAAAATGAGAAATCTTATTGCTGGGGCAGGGTGAGATGGCTCAAGCCTGGCTACCTTAGTTCAACTCCTGAATCCCATGGAGGAAGGAGAAAACAGAATCAACTCCACAGAATGATCCTATGATCACACACAGGCTCCTGC